ACACACACACACACACACACACACACACACACACACACACACACACAGCACCCTACAGATATGTCATCACTGAGCATGTGCTAGCACTTGCTGAGGCTGTAATTGAGGTTTTGCACTATACAGTGAGGAAGTCTAATATGTTGTGTGCTGAGTGCTTACTCATCTGTTGGAAAGCATAAGGGACCTATGTTCACAGGTCCCCCCTACACAGCCTCACCCAGGAGCGCCGCCAGCTTTTCTGCCGCCCTAGGTGGCGGAAGGTCCCGCCCCAAAATGCCACCCCCCACAGAGGCGGCGGAAGGTCCCGCCGCCGAAATACCGCCGCGGTCGCTGCCCCCCAAATTGTAGCGCCCTAGGTCACCTAATGGGTTGTGCCGGCCCTGGCCTCACCCATGCACCCCATTTTCCTCACAGGTATACCTATGCACCCAGTGAAGTTGATGGACTTGCATGAGTTTAGCTGAGAGCAGAACTGGGTCCAATGGATGAAATCCTGACCCCACTGAAGTCTAAAGGAGTTTTACCATTGACTTCAGTGGGGTCAGGATTTCAGCCCATTATTCCAAGTAAGGTTCTTGTATTTCAGTGTCTGGTTTCAGTGGCAATGCTATAACAGTCTCTCTGTTGATGTCAGTTGGATCCCATATTCCATGCACACGCAAAACTCCCTGGAAAGGCAATGGGTGTTTGGGGTGTGCAAGGAACACATGAGTGTTGTGGGCATGTGGGGAAAGACTCGTGAGCAGAACACATACACTTGGAAGACAATTAAGGCCATGAAAGTTAAAAATGAAGTCTGATAGTTATGTAAAACATGGGGACATGTAAGCAAATTCTGAAATGATGGAAGTTAGAGGATACCTTCTGAACTGTGATTTTGTTTTAATTTAGAGGCAAAATGCATGAAGTTAAAGTTAGCAAAGTTCCCAACACATACCAAAGATTCTACAGGCCTGAAGGGATGCTGCCAAAATACAGCGGTCATATTCCACGTAAGAATTTAGAATTTCTGTCCTTTAAAAACATATGGTTTGCTATACACGTTGCTCTCCAGCACTGATTTATTATTTATTGATTTGGAATGTTATTACTGTAGCCAATATGAGTGAAGTTCAATGCTTTGGGAGCCCTTGGCAATCCTTTAAAAGCCCATCTAAATAAACCTATCATGTCAAGATTAAATAACGCCGCAGCAACATAAATATACCAAAAATGAGTTAACCACCTCATGAAGTCCAACACTGTCCCTAGCCTGCCTCACCCATTCATCATCTCCTTACAAGCAAGGTAGAAAAGATAAGCCTTGCAGCAACTTCTGAAGGCTAGCAAACTTGATCGGTTGCGGACAAAGTGGAGAAGTGAGTTCCAAAGGTCCAGGGCTGTAATGGAGAACAGCCTGCCAGCCACCCCCTCCTTTCTCTTGCACCAATGAGGCACAGGCAACCTCCACTGACTGCAACTACAGCAGTATTTCATGGGACTTCAGGGATTAAACAGTGGGCATTTGTTTCTTGCAGATGAACATCTTGTCATTGGGAAAACATTTGGAAACCTGTGCAGAAGCTGCTCGGTATGCTCGCACACGGAGGAATCCTATGGTGCACATCTCACTAAGAAACGTAATGCCACGTTGAAGCTCCCAAAGAACTTGAAATGTAACATGAAAAGTTGAAACATGCGGTGATTTGGACTTTGGCAATTGATTAAAAACTACTGAAATACTATCTGAGATGCGCATGTCATTAGGCTTGATCTCAACACTTAATGCTATGTTATCTGAGATGTGTAATGTTTTGGATAAATTTCACGTGTGAGGTAAATATGAAAGTATGGTTATAAACCACAGTGTGATTCAGTAGTTATGAACACAGCTAGATCAGCATTGCTAAAGCATTTCCCCTAATACTCTTTAGCATAATTGCTGGCAGCACTTCAGCATAATTCAGTTCTTCGGTTTTACTGAAACAAGGGTATTGAATTTTTGGGCTGAAGTGAAAAGCACTGGAAAGAAAAATGCCAAAGAGCGAAAGGAATCAGTAACTTCCAGAGTGACCCGCTGGAAAGGGCAGGGTACACTTGGCTACACAAACAGGATTTAAAATGTAGTTTGAAACAGCATATCCCAAACTTTTGGAAGCCGAGTCCCACTTCAGGAAAATGAAAGCAATCATGTCCTTTAACCAACCCCTCCTATCTTCATTTATATACCTTCCACACTCCTCCCCACCGTGGCACAGTCTTCCTGCTGCTTTACCCTTTTGGGAAACACAACCTTAGAAAAAGAAGGGGGGGGGGCGGGGGGCAAAATATACCATCAGATTGGGTTAGAGTCAATCATTTAACCCTTATTGTATTCAGAGTTGATGGGTGTGGGGGGGAATCATATGCTTTCTTGTCAAAAACTCTAAGCATCCCCATTTCTCCCCAGCTCCAGGCCTCAAAGGGTCACTATTTTTCTGCTTCAGCTCTAATCAGCATATTCTTTAAAATGGTGTCAACAGCTGGTGGCCTACCTACACTAGTGTTTCCAGAGTTGCCAACACACGGGTGGAGTGGAACCATTGTTAGCAACAGTGACACATTTTTGGTGAGTTTCCCTAGTGTAATCAGTGGGCTGGATCCTCATACCTGTCCCACATGCAGGGCCGGCTCCAGGGTTTTGGCCGCCCCAAGCAGCTAAAAAAAAAAGCCGCGATCGCTATCTGCGGCAGCAATTCGGCGGGAGGTCCTTCGCTCCGAGCAGGAGTGAGGGACCGTCCGCCGAATTGCCGCCGAACAGCTGGATGTGCCGCCCCTCTCCGAAGTGGCCGCCCCAAGCACCTGCTTGGTAAGCTGGTGCCTGGAGCCAGCCCTGCCCACGTGCTTTGCACTGATTCCCAGAAATCATTTTTGCCCCACTGGTCCTATCGCTGGTCCTGTATGCAAGAGCTCTTACATGGCCAGAGAAGATGATAGTAATAATATCAGAATTTCAAAAGACCTTCAAAATCCTGACATGCATAAAGGGCCTGGGAAAGACCAAGAAGATCTAGACCATAACAATGCATGTGCTGCAAATATCTGTTGGTATATTTCCTGTTCAGAACCATGTTGGCCAAATGAGCTGTTGTAGAAACATGATCAAAGAAGGGGCAAAAGCAATGGGTAAAATTCCCCAGCTTTATTCGACTTCATTGCCCTTTGCTTAGGCTTTGGTATCCCCATTTGGTAAGGGAGGCATATCTGTATTATAGATAATTAGCTTGCACATTATGTATTGAACCTTGACAATTTGTTCTGTCAAACGTGTCAAAATCTGTGACCCAATGGGGTTATACGGGAAAGGTTTGGATTTAGATTTGCTAATCAATTCTATAATATCTAATTCTTTACAACAGCATAATTTAATAGCTCCAATTTCTGCTTTCAGGTCTTTGATTTCCTTGTTAAGCATTTAAGTTTCAATTCTTTTTTTTTAATCTTTTAACCTTTATCCCTTTGATTTTTTTCTCAGCCTATAATTTATTATAGTCTCCTGTCAGAGGGGGAGGTAGACTAGGTGACTTTTACTGTATTGCAAATTATAATTATTAGCGTTATTTGCATTAGTAATGGATTCATTCTTACCACTGAAAACAATTCCATTATCTGATCAGACAGTTATCTTCACACACAGTTCAGATTGTCCGTGATCATATATTTTTATTAGGCACCTCTTCCTCAGTGGGTCAAAAGGAAAATTATTCTTCAGTATAGTAAGTGGTCTTTCTGCTCCTAATGCTTCCCTGAGTAAAGATGCTAACCCTACAGGGAAGTAGAACAAGACCTGCTCTTTTCCATTGTTCTATCATATGTGGCAAGTATAGTGAGATGTGCTTTCATGGCACCTCGATCCAAAGCCCAGTATTGTCAATGGAAGGACCCCCATTGTTATCAGTATATGTTGGATCAGGCTCATTATTCCAGTTCAGTGGGAGGCACTGTGAGGATGATTCTTGCTTGACCTTTCAACTCCTTTTATTTTTTAATTGAAAAACAAAGGTGAGAGAGGCACTGTTGGGTTGACCAACTGGGGCAGGATGAGTTGGCAATGGGAATGGATACTTCTTCATCTCTTGTCCTTTAAAATGGAGTGTGCCCTCACTGGGATACAAAGTTTTCACATGAGATCACTGTCCAAATTAACCAGGAGGTGTGGGGGAGATGGGTAAAGGAAGGATGGTGCAGGGCTACAGACCAGCCAAGCACCTCTAGACGTTAAGAATAACTTGGGTCAAGGTTGGAGTGGAGACAGCAGAGAACCTCTCTCTGCCTTCTCCACTGCCCCCTTCCCAAGGCATCGAGTGATGGCCAGCATGGGACCAGTGGTGTAAAGGTATCAAGAGAAAGCTCATAAGTCCAAGAACTTCTGACATAAGAACGGTCATACTGGGTCAGACCAAAGGTCCATCTAGCCCAGTATCCTGTCTTCTGACAGTGGCCAGTGCCATGTGCCCCAGAGGGAATGAACAGAACAGGTAATCATCAAGTGATCCATCATCGTGTCAGCCACGGATTCTCTTCATACCATTACATGCTGTGTTTTAGTAAATACAGCTTGTAAATAAAGAGACTGTGAATAAAGAGACACAGGTCCTCTTCTCAACTCTGCCACTCCCTTGTTGGGTCATTTTGGGCAAGTGTACTGGATTTTTTTGTGTTTTATCTGCCTCAGATGTAAAATGATGATATTAATACATACATGTCTGGAACACTTTTAGACCTGTGATTGAAAGAGACTATGGAAGTGGCAAATATTGGTAAATTTCAGCTATAATTAGGTTGTACGAATGTTATCTATTTGAGCCAAGATTGTCAGAAGTTACTGGTGATTTTTGGGTGTCCAACCTGTGTGACCTTTAAAGTAGGGGTAATCAGTACTTTCTGAAGGTCAACCCCTCCCCAACTTTTAAAGCCTCTCAAATATTGACCTCAAAATGAGCCACCCCAAATCTGTAGTAACTGCTGAACATTCTGGGCTTTGTTCTTAATAAAGTCATGTATAATTTTAATTCAGGACTGTCTGTGTGAGATCATTAGATCATGAAACAATGTGGTTTATTTGCAGGATTGGCTCCTTCCTTTTTCTTCACTTCCTTAATTGGTTTGATGTCAATAGTTATTCCCTTCATCTACAGAATTAAAGGTAAAAGGATCTTGCAATACTATATATACATAGCAATAACTGCACAGCTCCTAACAGAGTAGAGACTTGCATGACTGTTTGGGATACAGATTTTAAATAAGCTTGTCTCTGCAATATCCACTCATTTTTACTGTATAATTGCATAGATACAGATGTAAGCAGTGTCAGGATGAGCTCTACCCTGACATCTGGTGGTGAATTGTGGCGAGTTGTGGAAAAGAACTTCAGGGGCTGATCTTGTTTGCATAGGCACACCCACCCCGCCTAGCATGAGCCCACAGCAGCCCAAATGGTCACTTTGGCTGCTGTGGGATCCCCAGTTTCTCTGTTATTGGGGCAGGAAGAATAAAGTGTTGTTACCCTGATTATGTGAATCAAGGGCAGTGGAACTGTTTTATGACAGAGGGACTCGCCATCAACTAAGTAGCACTCGCTAGACAAGGGACATGGGTTCCAAAACCCAGTGAATTGAGAGAGAGGCTAGAGACAGGTATGTGTACTTAATGGTATGGGCCCCTTTTGAGGGCCTGAAACACTAATTGCACTGCCTTCTCTCTCCACTGTGGAATATCAGAGCTAATTTTGATTCCATTAGGATTCTAGTTACAGGCTGCTGAGCTGAATTCAATTTGGGCCAATGGTGCAGCAGCACTGGGGCTCCCCTACTACAAGCTGAAATCACTAAAGAGCTAAAATTACTAAGAGCTGAAATCACTGAGTGCTTGGGGGGGCCCCTGAAGATATATTGCTGAGTGTCTGGCGGAGCAGACCATGTTCGCGGGACGGCTGGAGCGGCTCACGGGACAGCTGGTGGAGTGGAGTGGAGCGGAGCAGCTGGCAGAGTGGCTCGCGGTGAAGACTGCAGCAGAACCCCACGGAGAGGCTGGACAGTCGGCCTTGGACCATGTAAGGTGCCCCTTAACACCCCTGGACCCCTCCCCCCCATTTCCGCCCAGGCTGATAAACTTTTGAACTCTGGGGCTGCACTGACCAGGGACAGAGACTTTTGGGTTGTTGGACTTTTCGATGATTTTTTGGGTTGCTGGACTTAAGACCCTAAGGGGAAAAGGACACTGCCAAACTTACTTGGGGGTGGGTCTTTTGCTCATGGTTTGTGTTATGAATGCTGTTTGTGGTGTTTCCCCAACATAATGCCACGTTGTTTCCCTCCTTTATTAAAAGGATTTTGCTACACTCAGACTCCGTGCTTGCGAGAAGTATTGCCTCTTAGAGACGCCCGGGGGGTGGTATGTAATTGTCCCAGGTCACTGGGTGGGGGCTCAAGCCGGTTTTGCATTGCGTTATTGAAACGGAATCCCTAGATACTGAACCTGGCCCTTGTTGCTGCCAACTCAGACGGGCAGAAGGGTTACACATATATAATAATTTCCAATATATTTTAGTTTTTTCTGGTTGGTTTTTATGTATAGGGATGAGACGGGACTAACTTGTACTTAGGCCGTAGTTAGGATTTTTCACATAAAGCTGGTCAGAAAATAACATTTCCT